CGAAAGCGCAAAATTCAAATAGAAAATGAGAAGATAAAAAGGAATGAGGAGCTAACCGAAAATTAAAGAAGAAAAACAAACATAAAGAAAAAGAAAAATATCCAACAAAACTGAGGATATTAGAGTCTTGTGAGCTTAGTGAATATTAAACGAATTATAATAAAAAATAAAAAATAAAAAAAGTCAAAGAGGCTCAACCAAAGTGTTTAATTCATAAAAAGAGTAAAAAAAAGTGAAATCTCATAAGAACAAAATTCAAAGAGAAAATAAATAAAAAATGGGAAGATAAAAGGAATAAGAAGCTAGTGAAAAATTAAAGAAGAAAAACAAACAAGAAAAGAAGAAAAAATAGTCAATGGAATCGAGGATATTGGAGTTCTGTGAGCTCGGTGTAGATGAAGTAGATTGCAATAAAAATAAAAAGAAGTCAAAAAAGCTCTACCCAAGTGTTTGGTTTGCAAAAAAAAAAAGAAATAAAAAATAAATATAGAATTTCAAAAGAGCAAAACTCAAATGGAAAATAAATGCAAAATGGAAAAATAAAAGGAAAGAAGAGCTATCTGCAAATTAAAGAAGAAAAACACCCAATGCAATCGAGGATGGTGAAAATGAAACGGATTACTATAAAAAATGAAAGAAATCAAAAAGGCTCCTCTAAAGCGTCTGGTTTGTAGAAAGAGAAAAAAAAAAATAAATGTGAAATCTCATAAAAAGCAAAATTGAAAAAGAAAGTAAATACAAAATGAAAGAGGAGCTAACCAAAAATTAAAAAAGAAAAACAAATAGAAAGAGAAGGAAAAATATCCAACAGAACCGATGATATTGGAGTAAAAAAAGACTGTACTGAAGCGTCTAGTTTGCAAAAAGAGAAAATCCTTGTAGACTCTCCTTTTGCAAGCTTTTTATAGTTATTTTATTGCATCCAAAAAGATAATTGGGTAACAAGAGTAGATTTAGAGTACTATAATGTGATTAATAACATAATAACTTTACTAATAACATATTTTAGAATAAATTTTTCTAATGTTAAGATTTATATTAACTGTTAATTTATAATCATATTTAAAATTTTAAATGTAAGCCATTAATTAACAAAATCTAGTTGATAAATTACAAAAACAAAACCCTATCTGTTTTTTAATTTGGCCAAAAATTAAAGGAAAAGGGAGTGAGGATTCGAAGAGAAATGATAGGGGAAAAACGTGAGTGAAGATGATAAATCCAAGAAGAAGAAAAGGAAGAAGAAAAGGAAGAAGAAAAGAGAAACAAAAACATTCCATGAAGCTGATGCTATTTGGAGCTTTATCAGCTTAGAAATGTTGAATCGAATTGTAGTAAAAAATTCAAAAAGTCAAAGATGCTCCATCAAAGCGTTTGTTTCACAAAAATAAAAAAGAAAAATATATAAATATAGAATATCGGAAGAGCAAAATTCAAAGGAAAAATAAATATAAAATAGGAAGATAAAAAGAATAAGGAGTTAGCCAAAAATTAAAGAAGAAAAATAAAGAGAAAAAGAAGAAAAACAACCAATAGAACCGAGGATATTGGCATTTTATGAGCTTGGCGTAGATGAATCGGATTGCAATCAAAAATTAAAAAAGTCAAAGAGGCTCCACTAATGTGTTTGGTTTGCAAAAAGAGAAAAATAAATAAATGTGAAATCTCAAAAGAGCAAAATTCAAACTGAAAATAAATGCAAAAAGGGAAGATAAAAAAAAAAAGAGGAGACAACCAAAAATTAAATAAGAAAAACAAACAGAAAGATAGGGAAAAACATCTAACGAAACTAATGATATTGGAACTTTATGAGATTAGTGAAGAAGCGGATTACAATAAAAAAT